TGTCTTGAAGCAAAGCCAGAGCGATGTCTGTATGTATGTAGCATTAATAGAAATTAAGTCACTAGTAGGAACAAGTAAAATATTTATTAATTATTAGTAATTTACTTAGTTACCATAAAATCCATTAATTGTGAGTTGATGCAAAATTCTGAAACCAGATTCACCATCAAACGGGGTAGGATTCCACCTGAACTCCTCTATCCCCATTCCTGTTTTTTCATCATTGCCTATTGGTGTTTGATTTTCAGAATGTGGGGAAAAGCCATTGGCAGACAACAATTGGGACAGAAAAGTTGTGTAACTCATAGGCCCGGACTCATCTCTAGCGACACTCAATAAGTAAAGAACCATGTCTCTATGCCCACGAGTAGTTGCAAAAAACAAAGGAATTCGTTTATCATAGGTCTGAGTATTTGGCAGACATCGGTTCCTTTCCACTAACAGTTCTGCTATCTCCCTGTTGTTAGCTCCTGCAGCTCTGTGAAGTGCTGTCCTTTTTCTGGTGTCACCCAGAGCTACATCCTTCTCTGACATCTTCTTCAATAGGTGTTTTACAAAATCATTTCTCTTCGTCGACTTTACCGCAACAATCAGCGCTGTTTCTAAGTATTCCGTTATGCCTGCCCTCACTGCCACTAATTTTTCTTCTATTAATTTGCTAGCTTCATCCCAGTCGCCACTACAGGAAATATGGGGTTAGGCGGCATTTTTTTAACGGCGTTTTTTAAAACGCCATTGTTTCTAATATTTAACGGCGTTTTAGAAACGTCTTATTTTTCTGTAATTGAAACGGCGCCGTTTCAAGAATCAAAGACGTTTTTTAAACGCCTTGGAATGGTTTTTTGTTCCACCCCCTCCTTCTCTCCTGTTTCACCTTTATTTTGAATATGATAGGCAAGTATAAGCGAAAATCTCACTCTCACTCTCGCGCTCTCACTCTCACTTTCACGGTCTCTCTCTCTCTCTCTCTCTCTCTCTCTCTCTCTCTCTCTCTCCTTCTTCTCTCGCCCTCTCTGCACTGTTCGAAGTTCTCTCTCAAAATCGATTCAGATCGGTGATTCATCCGAGCCATTTCGAAATTCTCTCTCAAAATCGATTCAGATCGGTGAGCTACTCTCTCTTTCTCTCTCTCTCTCTCTCTCTGTGTGTGTGTGTTGTCTAAACCCTAGTTATCTCTGTCAGTTCAGCTCTGTGATTCAGAGATTCAGCTTTGTAATTTTACTCACAATTCACTTGAATTTGTTGTTGCTTTGATTTTACAAGCTGATTTGTTGTACATTTTGCATGTATAATTTAAATGTTAATGGTTTTGTTTATCATACATTCTCAAACGGTGGAGGTTGGCCATCACTTGCTTGTGCTTTGTGTTTTTAATTAGGATTAAGATGCTATTATGTTGGTTTGAGTTGCCTAGGGTTATAACTTATAAGAGCTTGACATTGATACATAGATGGTTATTTTAAAACATAAAAAATTATTTCTACCTTGCAGCAGAAAGTTCTTATGGGAAAGAATTTATTGTGGAGGACCTTGCTACTGCTTTTGTACAAAAAAAAATTGTTACAGTTTCATCATATGGTGGTAATGATATGAAGCAATAGTCCCTCCAAGGAAAGATGTTAAAAGCTAGGGTGGGACTAATAGACTCCCTTCATAGAAAGCATGGAAATTGAGAAACTACCCCCAAAACAAATTCATATTGGTTTTTTGTACATCAACTGAATTAGAGGAGAAAATACATCAAATGGAGAAGGAAACCTTGATTTAGGGTTTCCTTACCCGAAGACTTAAATATGATCTTTTGTTTTAGATGGCTTCTCATTATGTTGTTAAATATGGTTGTTTCTTTTTCTAAGCTAAGGTGCTTGATACGTTTACTTTTGAAGCAACAAATTGGGTTGAAAGCAGTCAACTCTGTTTCTAGTCATTTTCATTCTGGAAGTGGTAAATAGACAACTCTTAGTAACTAACAAAAATGCTCTCTTTTTGTTACAAACATTAATGCAACAGAGCTTTGCACTTGCAAAAATGAGCAGCAGTATGAACTTGTCCTATTCCTCAACAGTTGAGGCCGAGTTAACAATGGTTACTCCTCCAGTCTTTTGTTCTCTCTACTTGAATCATTGTCATGTTGCTTTTCATTCCTCATTTAATTCTCTGTTTTTACTTTAAATTCCATGTTTCTCCTTGTTATTTTTTCTCTTGTGCCAAAGCTTTTTGAAAAATTATCCTACTGTGCATGCTGCAACTAATGTTTTTCATGAATGGCTTGTATTAGAGTACACTGATGTAAAAGAAACCGAAATGTGACAACACTGGCCCTTTTAAATGATATGGTTTTTGATGTTCTTTCCTAGGAGGGTAGGCCCAAATGAAATACCTTCAATAGTATGTCTATTTTAACCCTTTTAGGTGATTGCCGAAGTTTTCTTTTCTTCTCTATTGTAAGACCAATTTGATAGGTGATTCTACTGGTTGGTATCTGGTTAGTAAGTACTGGAAGAAGGGTTGGTTGGTTGGTTAAAAAAGGGTTTTACCTCTATCTGTATGGATCAACCAACAAGTAAAAGAATTTATTATTTTATGATGAAATATGGATGATGGAAGTGAGTAGTACAAGGGCTAGAAGTTGTTCTGTTCTGTCTAATTAAGTGGTGTAGCGGCAGCCAATCAATGAAAAATCGTCATTATCCGCATGATTGAGAAGATGTCAAATTTTCTACTTGTACCACCTTATGTTGAATTTAAGGGAGCTAATAGTGAATTTGAAGGCTATACATGGTTGTATTGGCTTCTAGGAGTTTGGGTCATGCGTGGGTAGGTTAGTTTGAGCTTAAGCTGGTGCACTAGTGCTCTCTCATATTTTTGTGGGGATCATGCTATCAGAATTCTTTCATCCTTGCTCTTGTTTGAGAGCTGAGAGTTTTTTTTTTTTTGAGATAATCAATATAGAGTTCTGAGTTTATTTTCCTGACTATATATTAATTTCCTCGAATAACTGTGGACATTACCTCCTTTTTCCTACTATGTTGCTGGTTGAACATACACATAGCAGTGAGAAACCATCTCAAAAAAGATGAAATTCCAAAAATTGACAACTATGCAAGTTGAAGCAAAAAGGAACTAACTCATACTGTTCTATGAGAAGTTTTAGATGTGGCACCTGTTCTTATTTTCTTGTAGTCTAGCTGAATTTGTTGAGAAAGGGAAAGGATAAATGGTAGAATCATTCACACACTATTCACCTCTTGTGATGTATTTATGTTTACTTCACTGTTGCTAGTGCCTTTTTCAATTTTGATAGTTTTTCAAAACATATCCTTATCAGAAAAATAAAAAAGAAAAATTAATCTTGGATAACACATGACCATATAGGAATAGACATTTTACTAATTAACCCTTTAATTAATTTCTAATTTTATAATGTCATGATAGATTAATTTGAGAGAGTGTAGGATACAATTAACTTCATTTGGAGGGTTATTTGACCCAAAATAAATAAATAAATAAATAAATAATCATCTAGCTAGCATGTGAAAGAATTGTCTTGCATGTAACTTTGTCTTGATTTGTAGTATTATATGGTGAAGTTTGGTCTTCAATTCAAACAAGTTTTCCTCATAATTCCTTTTGGTCTTCAACTATGCTAGACCCACCAAGAATCCTTTTTCTTTATTTTAATCACTGGTTTTGGAGATGGCCCATTAGAGTTGCAGCAAAAAGGTTTCAGTGGGCTAAACAAGTCTACAAAATTAAAGAAGATTTAGAGAGTGATTAACCAATAAGTTGGAAATTAAAAAGCATTTACCATCACTACAGCTGCACTCTCCATGTCAACTAATGAAACTTGAAAAGTATTGAAGAGGAAGTACCTGTATGCTGCATTGTCCACAAAAATGTTGGCGGTTGAGCCCCGGAGTCCAACTACTAGTTTGGGCTTTTGAGGAAGGCACACACTTGAGTTCACACATTGTTCTAGTTCCATCCCCTGCAGTAACACAACTTAGGACTTGCAAACTTTAGGAAAAAATAATGGGGGCTTCATATAGGCTGAGCTTGGTTACGGTGAACGCAAAGCAATGGAAAGTGTGAAATTCAAAAAAAATGGAACTTTTTCCATGTTTGTTGAGCATGAGTATGGTGAGAAATGCAAAAAAGTTAAATTTCTTATTTTTCTCATGAGTAACAAACTGTTGTAACTTTCAAAATTTTCATTTTAACCAAATGCACACCAGAGAATAAGGTAGTGTTTGGTAGAATTTTAAAATAATAATTTGAAAATAAAGTTATATTTTGAGTTTGTGAGTTTTGAAATTATGATTTGAAAAGAAAAAAATTATTTGATTATGAGTTTTAAAAAGAGTTTTGAATTTTTGATGTGGCATATAAAATGAGAAAAGTTATTTAGTTACGAGTTGAAAAGAGTTTGCAAAACTTAATTGAAAAACTAATAACTCGTAACCAAATGTACAACTCAAAACTTTATTGAAAATTCTATTCAAAACTCAAAACCAAACTTTTTTTAAAATTCAATTCAAAAAAATAATTTGTCATTTTAGTCTAAAAAAATAATTTCTACATTTAAAAAATATCAAAAACAAATATAATTTTTTTTTTTCCAAATAGCAGGTGGCGTTTGGCAATTGCGAAAAAAAAAAAAAAGAGTACTGTTCCAGTTAACCGGCCGAACGATCAGGTAGACCAAAAATTAAAAAATTATCGTTTTTACCAAGCATGTTTTCAAAATGTATTTTGAAATTGATTTGGAATCATGATTTGAAAACTCAAACCAAACATAACATTAGAATGTAAAAGTGAAATTAATTTTAGAAAACTCTACTATACACTGCATTTCCTTGCTTCCGCTGCTTCCACTTCACTTTCTATTATTTTTGCTTTTCATCATACTTTTCGCTCTAATCAAACGGACCTACGTTGCAGAACTCACAAAAAAAATAGTCCTATTCTCACAAGTTGTGCCCACAACACAAATCCTTATCAAAAATTGCACTTCATTATTTCATCCTTACTCATTAAGAAGGGTTTTCTATTCAACCCGCCACCTTCAAAAAGTACTAAAATCGCAAAGAAAATCCAATTAAGAAGAAAGAAGAAATATAGAAATAAAACGATCTAAAAAATTAAAATAATAATTGGTAGGGATGTCTTGCCTCCAAACTAGTAGCAAACTGAAGCCATTTCCGGGTTATCTGCAACCAAAGCAAAGGTTGAGCAGTATCAGGCTTCCCTGACTCGGAGAAGAATTCCTCGTAGCTATATCCAATTTGTCCCAACAGATTAATCCCTTGCATTTTAGGTACATTGTAGCTTCCAATTTTTAAGTCAGCAACATCATTAGTTCCCAATGTTCCATTCAGTTTCTGCACAGAATGAAGTCTCATATATGGGTAATCAATCAGTCATTACAAAAAGCTTAATTAAAAAGAAAAACAGTGGGATGATGAAGAAATGTAATGAGCTTCATAGTACCAGCCAATCCCAAATGCCAGTGTGGGCAAATTGTTTTGGGATGGTGACATCTCCGATTGACATGGAATTGTTCAAATTGCCGGCTATCCCAAAATGTACAATTCCTGTTATGTCGAACAGATCCAACATTTGTTGTGTTGTTGCAGCTGCATTCATCTGCATGAGACCATTACCCATTTAAGTTGGTGTAGACATTGACACATTTCTAAAATCATCTTCAAGAAGAAAGAATGTTGTTCTACTGGCCTGTTTGCAAGATGCCTTTTGCCAAGGAATTAAAGCCAGCAAGCTATATAGTATAGGTGTTAGGGGTGTTTGCATTAGGTTTAAACTATTGTACAACAATGGAGCATATATTTGTTTGAGCAAACTTTCTTGGTCAGT